TGATGTGCAAATACAAAATTTAAGGCTGGGCATAGTGGTTAGGATAACACCTGTTATCGTAACTACCTGGGAGGCAGCCATGGAGAGGATAGTGGTTGAAGGGCAGCCTGGGCAAAACATTTAGTGAGACAACCATCTCAACCAACAAAAGATGGGCACTGTGGAGTACATCTAGCTTTCCAGCTCATGGGAGGTGGTAGAGTTCCTGCCTGGGAAGTGCAAGGCCATGAGTTCAAACCCCAGTACCACAAAAAAAGAAAGAAAGAAAATATTTAGATATTCTTCATAAAATCGCAGGCCAGACATAAAGTGAAGCAAATATAAAATATCCTAAAGATGACTAAGCATACTGAATTTGAAATTGTGAATTGTGGTAATTAGCTAATAAAAACTGAAAGGTAAAACCATTTCAAGGTAGCCTGTGACATTAAATGGGAACAGAGAAAAAAAAAATCCACTTGAATGAATGAGTAAGCAAGCAAGAAAGACCAAGAGAACTTTGAGAATTGATCTGATCAATGATATAGCTCAATGATTATACACGAACCTCAAGGACAGACTGCTAATCTCAAAATCTAATACTAATTATAAAAAATTACATCATTATCATCTACTTTATTTCTTGTCTTTAAAAAACTAATAGAAGCCACAATAAATAGTATGGGAATATAAATATTATACTCCAAACATAAACCTTAATGAGGTAATTTAGACAAGAAAATATTTAACAGCCTTTATATATATTACAATTTAAAAATTAAAGATTTCCTCATTCTATTCTGCTGGGAATCATACTAGCCTAGCTAAGCTTTAAAATGATAAAATGTCAATCATTATTACCATAAATTATAGTCTCACAGGCACAGATGTAGAAAATTCCTATCTACCAACAGAGATGAGCATGAGGGCAGTGCAGCAAAAGGGTTTGTATTCTGCCCACTTAGTAGACAGGTGGACCCTACCTACAAGTTATTTAATTTTTCGAATTTGCAGTTTGCTCATCAGTAAAATCAGGACAATAAAGTGACTAACCCTTAAATGAGAATACATAAGAACACTTAACAATTTTTTTAAATTATTAGCTAAAATACAATGGAGACACAAGTTTGTTGTTGTTGTTTTGAGACAGTCTCCAATGTAGGCCAGGCAAGCCTGAAATTCTCAGTCCTCCTGCCTCAGTCTCCTGAGTGCTGAGATCACAGTCATGCACCATAATTTATAGCTGTGATGCAAGTATTTTAAATAATCATGTACCTTAAGCAATTGTATTCTAAAACATTAAGCCAAAAGAAAGTAAAATATTTTCATTTAAGTTCCTATTAAAAATGTTATTTAGAAAATGTATTAAAGAGAATTCAGCTAGTAAAGTACAACAGCAACACACTGACACTCACATAATAGGGTTTTACAGCAATGACACACTGGTATGAACCTAACCACAACCTTTTTTTTTTTTTTTTAAATTCTCCTAGGTGTAAAGGCCACAGAGCAAAATGCCTAGAATGGGTTGGCACACTAATGCTTAAGTACAAAACAAACTAATGCACACTAAGGAGAAATCACAGGTCATATCCTTAATTACATAAAAATACTTAGAATAAAAGTACCATACAAATCCTTAATTTATTGTTTTCAGAGAGGGTCTCCCTATGTAGCCCAAACTGGCCTGAAACTCAATCCTCCTACCTTCGCCTCCTAAAGTTCTAGGGTTACAGGTGTACATCAACACACCCAGCCTCATATCTTAAATCAAATCTCTGAAAAGTAAGTAAGATTCCAAAACTTCAAAAGCAGACTCAGTCAGGATACCAAAGAAACTCACTTTATTGTTAACTTGGCAATCTTACATGAATAGAAGCGGTGAGTGATTTATGCCACTTTATAATCCATCAACTTCCACATTCCTTTAATTAAGAACTAATAATACTTTATACATATATATTATATACATACATATAATAACATCTTCCCACACCCCACACTCACGTAGAAGTAGCAAATAAAATGCTGAGACTGAATTACCATCATTCTACTATAAACTATTAAAGAGACTGTACAGTCTAGAAAACAGAATAGTCATAAAGAGAGTCAGAGCAATCTCCCAGTATTTGAAAGTATAATGTTAACCAACTTCAAGGAGCTCAGATTTTAATGCAATATAAAAAAGAATGAATTTATCTAGAATTGAGTTTGTGATCTTTCTTTGCCAAATTGAAAGAATCCTAAAAATCCCTGTGCCTTCTAATCCAGTGAACTTGAAAAACTTATTGCAAAGAGCTGGGTGTGGCAGTACACACCTGCAATTCCAGTACTCGAGAGGGTAAGGTAGCAGACCTTAGGTTTGAGGCCAGCCTGGGCTACATAGTGCGTTCAAGACCAGCTAAAGCCTGTACTACATAGCAAAGCTCTGTCTCAAACAACCAACGGCTGGATATACAGTTCATTGGTAGAGCACTTGCCTAATACAAAGCCCTTGGTTTGATCACCAGCACTGTAAAAACAACAACAACAACAAAAGGACATGATTGTAGATATGCCAAAAAATATACATAAGAGATTATAATAGCAAGAAAAAATGAATGCAACCTATTATTCAGCCATGAATACTTTTTGTCTATAATTTAAGACAATGAGAAAGTGATTAGGGTAAAATATTAGGAAGGAGAAAAAAGTATACAACACAATACAATGAATAGTGCCAATTTTGTCCTTCTCCTAAGAAAATATTTGTATGTGTAAAGATAACTCAAAAAGTAATTATAAAAGTATTCAGAAGAAAGTGCACCATAATTTATCGGTTGATTATCTCTCCATGCAGTAGGACTGCAGGTAGTTTGAGTTCCAAATTTTAATCCAAAGCACATTAATCAGATATGGAATAATTATCTATCAGGATTATTATGAAAGAACTATCTGATGACACCCAAAGTCCTTTCCAATTCAAAGATTCTGCAACTCTAAGAAACTTCCTGCAACTAAGTTAAAAATCAACAACTCTCTGCCAAGACCAGAAAACCTAAAGTTAAGTTTTCAAAGAAAGACTGACAGCCAAGAATGGCATTAATTTTAGAAACATCAATGTCCTCTGGCAAGTATCTCTTTCCTTAGAAAAACGGACAGTGGACCTAAATGAGCTGTGGCAAACAAAAGAAACATGAATGAGCCTATAATTGCCAAAGAAGAAGAGGTGGAGGAGGAAGAATAAGAGAGGAAGGAACTGAAATTTCTCCTTTATCAAAAAAGTCACTGTCTAGATGGATGATATAACCCGTACATGTACTTAAAAGCTATAATTATGAAAACTACTTAACAGTTTCATACCTGGTAGGACTATACACTACCAACTACAGACTGGAGGGCATTAAGTACATCCTTTCAAAATTTGATTGTATTAATTTTCAAAGAAAATCATAATTCTGATGGTATCAGAATTAAGTGCTGTATGATAAGTAAACTACCATCTCAATTTTTATCTCTGACAGTAAACCATGGGAAAAATGGAACTAATTACAAGCCACTTGCTCACATTCACAAAAATGTTAAATATTATCACGACATACTTCATATACTAATTTATTTTAAATGAAGTAAGAGTTTTGTGAAATTATTACATAGGTTAGAACTCTACAACTCAAAATCAAGGAAAAAAATCTGCTTATGACTGTAAACAGTCAAAGGAAGAAACCAGATTGACATGTTCTTCTTACTAGAGATAAGAATGTGTAATAGAAAATGTCATAGCTAACATTCGAAGAGAACATAATCCTATATTTGCAAAACAGAAAAAATTAAAAATTTAAAGTGTAAGTTACTCAAAATATCTAGGGAAACAGGTAAATCAATTTTATTTCACAATTTATATATATATATATATAATGTGTGTGTATTTTATATGTATATATATGTATAATCACCATCTTGTGATAATACATAAGAGGTAAAGTTAAAATGAAACACTTATGGTAATGTTTCATATAATATAATAATATGGTAGTGTTTCATATAATATTCCCTATATTTGGAATATTATATGACTTAGAAAAAAATGTTTGATTGTATTGAAAGATCAAGGGAACACAACTCTTTACAGAACCTGGTCAAAATATACAGTGTTCATTTTCCTTTCCTTTTTTGCTGTTAATCAAAGTATTATTGACAAAACAAGATAAAACAAAAATCCTCATGACCATGATTTTCCCACCAGATATTGTTAACAAGGAAAGCCTAAGTAAAACACAAATTTATTTTTTAAAAAAGAGATTAGTGTCCTTAACATGAAATATGGATCTTTATTTTTATAGATTCATTCTATCAGAAAGATCCAGCAGAGGCTAACAGCTGACACATATTCATGGCTTTCTAATTAGTATATGAAAAAATACCACTAAAAATTTAAAGCATTATGCTAGAAATTGTACTAATAGGCCCAAAGAACATACTATGTGCTATACAAGTATGTAAAACTTGCATTATCCTATTTTTTAAATAATCATCTAATCCAGAAACCATTTTTGAGGCAATTTTACTTGACCACCACCCATTTCCTATTGTGACAAATGATTCAGTACCCAGTATTTTCAACCATTTTTTAAATGTTGGGATATTTGAGACTTACTACACCTAGATGAACATGTGTATATATTTCATAATTCAGCATTTTATAGCTGTAACAGAGTACCCAAATATTAACAGAATTCTCTTTCTCCTTTAAACATATGCACATGCACACACACAGTCCTTTGAATCTTTCCTTTTAAAATTGGCATTTAAAAAATAATATTCAAGAAAACACTAATTCATATATGTTCTCATAGGAAATAACAATATACAATATTTTAAACATCTGAAAAAGGTAGCACATGATGTGTGTTGCAACAGACTCTCCGGACCTGCAATCATGCTGCAGTCATGAATAAACATGCCCCTATAAAGTTCTAAGTTTGAGTGCCACATCAAGGGCATGGAGCAGGTACATCAGCTGTGAAATGGATTTACATTACCTCCAACCTTAGGGCCGCCTGCTGAAGCAGGCTTCCTTGCACTGTTGACAGGATTTCCGGGTGTTTTAGGTGCAGGAACCTTGAAGGCTGAAGCAGCTGACGATGGCCTATTTCCATCCACTGATTCCTCATCATCAAAGCTTTTATCTGCACAAAGCATCAGAAAAAATACTTAAGGAAGCTAAATTTTGCTCCATTTTCCATTAAGAACCAAAACCAAGTAAAGTCATATTATAAAATCATTATTTTGATAGGCTATATAATACAAAATAAAAGTCCTCTGAATAAGCATTTATATACTGTTTTAAAACTATATAAGATAACCCTCTGTAATTTAAAATCAAATGCAATATTACCATGTTTCCTATATTAGGTCAAAATATATTAACCCTAATAACAACAAAAAGCATCTTTCATTTTTTGCTACTCCTAAGGATTTTCTGCCAGCTCCTCCCATAGTGAATCTTCCAGCATGCCCTGCCTTATTCCTTATACCCAGATTCTGCAACTTACAATCACAGATCCGTTTGCAAATCAGTCGCCTCATTCCTCTGAAAGCTCTTAATTTCCCTCACCCTAATATGCACCCAATAGTTCACATGGCCAAACACAGTAAATTTAATACTAATCAAAGATTCTATCAAAAACAGATAGAAACAACCACAGAACCACCACTGAGGTTTGTGCCGGCATTTTTCTTTCTCTTCCCTGCCCTAGGTGCTGTAACAGCCAATCAGCTACAAGGTGACATCATCTTATGGCAGCTACTGCCAGTGAAAGGTAAAAATTCTCCATGCATCTAAAAATTCTCTATGCACCTACAATCTATTTTATACCAAAATTTTAAAGGCATTTAATACTAAATTTTATAAATCTAAATTTGTTTTCTATTACTTAATTGACATGAGAATGTATATAAATAGAAAATGAGGTTTTAGGCAATATTCATTCTGCTAGGGTGCTTATTGCATCAGTAAAGCATGGAATATAACAGTGCTCATTACTGCACACAATTAACTCTATACTCTCACAATGTGCTGCTTACTTAAGACACAGAAGTGAAACTGAACAATTTGTTCTCATAAATGCTTCTGTAACATTCTACAAGGCTCCTTATATACAAATGAAACACCTCCCAACCTCCTCCCTCTAGCTCCCCACCCTATCCCCCCCAAAAAATCACAATATATATGCAGTTTACTCTTCTGAGAAAACAGTTCTCTCTAGGACCCTGCACAAACCAACCACGGCAAACAAGATGGGTGAGGCAGAGAAGCAGCCTTACCTCAGGTTTCAGATCAATATGCCAGAATCGTTCCTTAATCTGTTCTCCTTACCTATACAAATACCCAATCACCCATAACAAAACCATTCATATGAAAGGATACTTCCCATCAGTACCACTGTTAAATATATCTTAAAGAAAACATTCCAGGTCTTAAGACTTTTATTTATTGGGGAGAGAGGGAATAAAGAAAGACACCCTTATATACAGTCACATTCCATTTCAGCAAGTGTTTTTCTTAAAGACAACTTCTGTGGAAAAAAGGATCTTGGTTAAAAAAAATTTTTTAAGTATAAGATAAAATAGAAAATAAAAATGAAATGGCAAATATAAAACCAAATATACCAATCAGAGAGTCAGTTAGGTTATCTTAAAACCTATGTTTTACATAGATTGCTCGGTTAAGAACACTAATACAATTCAAAATAAACATTTTTTTATGACCATTATGTTAAAAAATGCAAGTAGGAGAAACAGCAGACAGAAAAATCTACAGAAAGTCAGGCACTAAAACACGGAAGGGCCAGAAGTTCCCATGGAAACAGTGTTCTGTTCCTATACACACAAGAAATGAAGAGAGTAAATGTTCCCACCATTAAAAAGAAATTAACTCTTAACATTCTCAAACTACTGTGAAATTGATTTTTAACTATTTATCAAAACAAAGCATATAAATCCTAAGTATGCAGATTAATGAATTTTCACAAAATGAACATGCCAGTTTATCTATATACTTATCAATAAATGGATTACATACATCCTGTAGCACAAAACCCCTAAAAGTCACAATTTCTTGAGAAAATCAACTACCTTTAAATTCTAGTACCATAGTTGGTTTTGTCCTCCCACCTTCTTTTGGTGGGACTGGGATTTGAACTCAGGGCCTCATGCTTGCTAGGCAAGTGCTCTACCATTTGAGGTGTGCCCCCAGCATCTTGATTTTGCCCATTTTTTAACATTCCAGTAGAATGGATATTAATAAATTGTGGTACCTTCTATTATTGATAGACATTGCGTGTTGCCAGTTTGAGGTTATTATAAAATAGTGCTCCTAAGAAGTAAGCAAACAACATTAAAAGATCCTAAGGATTTTAGCATTACTGGGGAAGTAGTAAGCATACTAAAGGTTTGAGCATCCTTAATCTGAAAATCTTAAATGTTCCAAAATACAACATTTTTTGACTGACAATATGATGCTCAGTGTCTTATTTTGGAGCATTTTGAATTTTGTATTTGGGGATTAGTACTGTTCAACCCCAAAGTAAACAAGTAAAGTTATGTAAATATTGCAAAACCAAACAAAATCCAGAATCTGAAACTCTTCCAGACCCAAACATTTCAGATAGTCAAATGTACTTTATTTTAAGTTATAATAAACCAGATGCATATGGTAATACCTAGGGCAGTATTCCTCAAAATGTGGTCCTTGGAGTAGCAGCTGAGTATCAAAAGAAATTTGTTAAAGATGCAAATTCTTGGGACTCAGCACAAATCCACTGAATCAGAAATTCTGGAGATTCAGCCTAGTAATCTACCAACTAAGTAGACATACTAATTTTATGATGCATGATCAAGTTCAAGGACCACTCTTCTATAGCAGGAGTTGGTGGACTTTTTACATAAATGACCATTCAGCAAAATTTTAAGTTTTGAAACTCATACACATAAGGTCTTTCCATGTAACAACTCAATGATGACACTGCTGCACCAAAGCATTAACACATGATCTGTAAACGAATTGGTGTTTCAATAAAATTTTATGTACAAAAACAGCAGAAGCAACTAACTGGATTTGGTAAGCGATAATTTGCCAATCTTTGCACTAGAGTGACCCCTAAAAAAAGAGAGAATACACACACAAAAAAAGAAGAAAAATGAAAATATTTGATTAATTGAAAGGAAATCAGGAGAGGAGAAAAGAGGGAAAATAAGACAAAAGCTAAAATATATAGATAAACTAGGGTAGGTGGTGCACAACTGTGATCCTAGCACAAGAACCTGAGGTAGGATAATCATGAGTTTAAGGCCAGCCTGAACTATATGAGACCCTTCCTTAAAACAAAACAACCTCACACAAATAGATAAATAGAATGTAAAAATAAAGTGGCAAATATAAAACCAAATATACCAATAAGTGCCTTTAATGTAAATGAACTAAATAGTCCAAATAAAAGACTGAATTTTTTTTAAATAGACTGCTTAAATGAGAAGTGGCTTACATATAAAATCACAAAAAGGTTAAAAGTAAAATTAGAAAGATAAAATATGGCAAATACCAAACAAAAGAAAGCTAGGATGGCTATATTAATTTCAAACAAAAATGTAGCTTAAAGAGATAAGAGATTTAGGGGTTAATCCAAAGAGAGGAAATCAGCACTCTAAATACTTTTACACCTAGTAACACAGCTTCAAATATAAAAAGCAAATTCAAAAACCTTTTTAAAAGGATAAGCAAATCTATAAGAGAAAACAAATTTTTATCTACTTCCAATGAGGATATATATTCTTTTACCATTAATTAAAGGGGGTCAAAAGACTAACTAATCATCATAAGCCCTAAAATTAAAATTTCGTTGCATAATTTATAGAGAGGTTATGAATATTCTGGGCTTTAATTTTTTCCTTAATAACTATAAAATAGCAGAACAAATCTCAATTATTTTCTACCAGCTTTAACTTTCTAAATAATAGATTGAGTTTTATAAGGCAAGTTTTTGAAAGCTGCTTTTTTTTTTTCATTTTTCTTTTATTATTCATATGTGCATACAAGGCTTGGTTCATTTCTCCCCCCTGCCCCCACCCCCTCCCTTACCACCCAGTCTGCCCCCTCCCTCTCCCCCCCACTCAATACCCAGCAGAAACTATTTTGCCCTTATCTCTAATTTTGTTGTAGAGAGAGTATAAGCAATAATAGGAAGGAACAAGGGGTTTTGCTGGTTGAGATAAGGATAGCTATACAGGGCATTGACTCACATTGATTTCCTGTGCGTGGGTGTTACCTTCTAGGTTAATTCTTTTTGATCTAACCTTTTCTCTAGTACCTGTTCCCCTTTTCCTATTGGCCTCAGTAAGCTGCTTCTTTTTTGAGAGATAGTCTCACTATGCAGCCCAGGCAGACCTCAAACTCAGAACTCTTCAGCCTCACTCTGAATGCTGGATTATATGAGTACAAAATCATGCTTCCCCTGGAAACTTCAGGACAGGAACTCTTATCTTGTTCATGCTGTAAACCCATTATCTAAGAACAATCCCGAGATAATTATCACAGCTTCTTACTTTTCTCCCTGCTTCTTACTTCTGTCCCTTGGAGTTTATTCTCAACAGAGTATGTCCTGAGTTGAACAAAGTCATGTGACATCACTGCTCAAAATTCTCTTATGACTCCATAAAAAAAAAGCCTACCAGGACTCTTAAGTTCTTAGTTATCAAGCAGGTTTCTCCAACCTCATCTCCTCCTTGTTCCTCTCTTTTTCTCCTATGTAACCCTACTAGTTTCCTTGCTGAGTCACATCAGGACCTTTGCACTTGTTCCTTCTACCTAGAATGCTCTCTCAAAATCTCTGCTCCCATATCCACACTGTTCACTCACCATCCTCATGTCTTCATTCATCTCTCAACTTTCTCAATAAAGCTTTCTCTGGATTGGATACCAAGATTGCAAACTTCTAACACCCTGATACACTAATCTAGCCCTGCGCCCTTGCTTTATTTTCTTCCTCTAGCATTTACCATCTATATATTTCAATAGTTTTGTTTATTTAGATAGATGATCTATGAGAGTGGTGACCTTTCTCTATTTTGTCCACTGCTGTATCTTCAACATGTGGAGCAATGCACAGAATAGCATATTTCACAGAAAGGA